AAATTAAATTGAATTAAATTTTTTAATGGACAAGGTTTAAGAGGATCTTCAAGAGTCTCTCTTGACATACAGTATTATGTCACCTGAGGCCAGGATGTTACGATACCTATTGACATGATGGATGGGGTCTAAGTTTGTGCTGGAGCAAATGTCGTCAGTGTTCAGCAGGTGCTCCAATGGCAGATCATGATGGTACTAATTGGAGGGACCAATGGGAGCACTTGGGTTATCAGCTACAGGATGTTGTCCACATCCTACTGAAGTGTGGCCAATGCAGAATGTGCAAATAAAGACGCATTATAAATCATCTGACAAAACCCTGTAGCACTGGGTTGTCATTTAAAGACTGAACACTCATCAGGAATAACCACAGTAATTAACACATTTCATGAGCACTTTCCATTCATAGTTAATATACACAGGAATTTATATGAAACTTTTGACTCAAATTTTATTTAACTACATTAAATGAAAATGGTTCCATTAAGTTCTTCACGATGGAAAGTGAAAACTTCTGAAAAGCACTCTGAATGCAGATTCATATTTATACAGCCATTGTGAAGTGATAATCCATGGTGAATGGAGAGAAGTGCCTGCCTAAACTGGTTTATCCTTTAGACCCTCCCCAGTGACTCCCTGTGGCTTTGACAAAACATTTGATTGAAATTAATAATAATAAAACATACTTTTAATTTATAATTGTTGTTGGCGTAAAGTGATTTTTACATTCTTACAAATGTGTAGCCAAAAAGCCAAAATGTAATGAACTTCAACGTCAACTAAAATGTGCGTCCTACTTACATGTACATCCTGACCTGGCACCTTCTCCTCTACATTTCGCTTAACCTTAAGAGCGTTGGCTGCTAGTCTTGAGTCTCCCTAGCTAGGCTAGCTCTGGATTCCAAATCCAAAAAAGAACTGAGAGGAAAATAGAAAATGTAATAGTGTGTGGACAGATTTGTTCACCACCAACACAGTAAGCTTACCAGTATTAATCCATGGCTGAAAATGAGCATCGTAAGGCTTAAATATGTTTTGCTTCTACAGACAGATTTTTTTGGCTCTTTTGACCCTAACCCTAACCCTCTT